GGGCATCGTGGGTCACCCCACAGCAGGAGGAACGCAGCGGTTCAAGGAGGCAGCTCAGCACCACCTTCTCAAGGGGCAACTAGGGACGGGCAATAAATGCTGGGCCCAGCCAGCGATGCCCATGTCCCACAGATGAATGAATAAGAAAATAAAAGATAAGTGCTTGTTAGGCAAAGGTATTAAGGGACATGGAGCAAAGTCAGGTAGATAGCGTTAGGCCCCAGATCAGCCATGGTCTCACTGAATGGTGGAGCAGGCCTGTGGGCCCGAATGGCCTACTCTTGCTCCTATGTCCCAGGGTGAGTGAAGCATTAGGTGAGGACAATCTTCATGTGACCCTCCCGTTCAAGCCAGCTTTCCACATTCCAAACCCACAAAACGTGCACCAGCCCATTTAAAACAAAACCCACTTCATGCCAATTATTTCTCAAAATGCACAACTGTACAACCCATTCCCCGGTTCAGGCAGATACTATCCCAACCCCACTGTGAGCATGGCAGGGGAACACAGTGCAGTTAGGGGACAGGTACTGCATTGATTTGCCTCCTACTCCGGGCAGCCTGCAGACTTACCGCTGCCCCGGCCACAGCGTGAACCAGGCTCTCATAAGAAAAGACCGGCCCCGCCGGTAGCCCCGGGCTCCCTTTCATCTCCTGGGCCCAGGAGCAAGTGCCCTGCCCCGGGGGGCGCCACAACCAGCTCCAGCTGGCACAATGGATACACCCAGCTTCCGCGCCTCCTGATTGGTCACCGCCTCAGGAAGCAACATTCCACTCGCAATCTCCTATTGGACGGCTGCCCGCGCCCTCACCACCGGAAGCACCTCATTGGTTACACCATACTTCCGTGTATGTTCCATTGGTTAGCTCTGGTGTCAGTCACGGCTAGGGATGCTGTGATTGGCTCCGCTTTTTACAATGCGGCAAGGAGGGGATAATCAGCTGACGGGGGCCTGGGCATCGCCGACACTGGGACCTGGGCATCGGCGACACTGGGACCTGGGCATCGGCGACACTGGGACCTGGGCATCGGCGACATGGGGGTCTGGGCATCGCCGACACTGGGACCTGGGCATCGGCGACACGGGGGTCTGGGCATCGCCGACACTGGGGCCTGGGCATCGCCGACACGGGGGCCTGGGCATCGCCGACACTGGGACCTGGGGGTCTGGGCATCACCGACACTGGGGACTGGGCATCACTGACACAGGGGCCTGGGCAATAGCAGGACCTGGGACCTGGGCATCACCGACACTGGGGCATGGGCAATAGCAGGACTTGGGACCTGGGCATCACCGACATTGGGGCCTGGGCAATAGCAGGACCTGGGACCTGGGCATCACTGACACAGGGGCTTGGGTAATAGCAGGACCTGGGACCTGGGCATCACTGACACTGGGCCCTGGGCAATAGCAGGACCTGGGACCTGGGCATCACCGACACGGGGGTGTGGGTAATAGCAGGACCTGGTTCCTGGGCACCACTCCCACTGGGGTCTGGGTGATAGCAGGACCTGGTTCCTGGGCACCACTGACACTGGGGTCTGGGTAATAGCAGAGCTGAGGTCCTGGACACCATGTGGGTAGTCTGTAGTCCCTAGTTGCATTCTCAGTGACAATGCCTTGGCCAATTAGAATTGTCTTGTGCACAAATCACCATTTTTTGCTGAAATTGTTGTGATGATTTGAAATTTGGCATTCTTGCATGTGTGCTGATGTGAGCAAGCTTTGACAGCATGTCTTCCTGTTCACACACTGCACTATTAACTGGATGTCCTTTATGTGATTTAAGCGCCAGCAGTACGGTTGTTTGTAAATGAACGTGAACTCTCACCTTCTCAAAGCTGCTAGTGATGGTTGTGAAGTGTCATCCAGCCAGTGTCATCCACATCGGGAGAGGAATTATTAAAAAGACACACAAGGTAGAGAGTGAGTGAACACAGAACGGGATCTGGTTCAGCAGTGGTCTTGCCCAACCTGACCTTACATGTACAGGACACTCAAGATCCTCAGGAACCACCCTCCCATCATTGAGCAGGAGGCAACTCACTTATCCGTCTCCCTCTGCTGTCCACTTAAGCAAGAAGAACCATAGAGTCATACAGCACAGAAACGGGCCCTTCAGCCGAACTTGTTCATGCTGACCATGTTTTCTAAACTGAACTAGTCCTATTTGCCTGCATTTGGCCCATACCCCTCTAATATTTTCCGATTCATGTACCTGTCCAAATGTCTCTACCACTGGTAACGCCTCTACCACTTCCTCTGGCAGCTCATCCCATACACACACACCACCCTCTGTGTGAAAAAGTTACACCTCAGGTCCATTTTAAATTTTTCCCCTCTCATCTTAAAACTATGCCCTCTAGTTTTGAACTCCCCTACCTTGGGAAAAAGATCTTGGCCACTTAGCCTATCCATGCCCCTCACGATTTTATAAACCCCTATAAGGTCACTCCTCAAACTCCTACACTCCAGTGAAAAAAAACCCCAGCCTGTCTTTATAACGCAAACCCTCCAGTCTCCATAACATCCTTGTAAATCTTTTTTGCATCTTTTCCATTTTAATAACATCCTTCCTTTAGCTGGGCAACCAGAATAGTACTCAGTACTCCAAATGTGGCCTTACCGATGTCTAGTACAGCCATAACAAGACATCTCAAATCCTGTACTCAATACTCTGACTGATGTAGGCAAGGATGCCAAATTCCTGTTTCACCACCCTGTCTATGTGTGATATCACTTTCAAGGAACTTAGTATCTGCACCCCGGGTCTCTCTGAGAAAATCAAAAGGAAATTGTTGTTCTTTTCAATCATTTAATTTGTAATGCAAAAAGAAAACAAAAACCAGACAGTCTTCCGAAACAAAAAATTATGCAATGAACATGCAACATTCAACATCAAACAACATCCAATGTCAACAAAGGGTAACATATCCTTCCATCAAAAGCCTTTGGAAGATTAACGGTCAAACAATGAGTGATTGTGAAAGGTGATACTCCGATTAAAGTTCATCCAGGAAGGGTATGTTGATGAGTCTGCCACTGACTGCCATCGACTTAGTGCCTGAAGCAAATTTCTCGGCTGCCTGTAAACATAGAACT